TTGCATCCTCTCCTAACTTCTTCCTTTACCCCTAAAAACTTTTAATAATAATAATATAATATATTTCTTTTTTCACCTTTTGTATCAAGCAAGAATAAACTTTTATTTTTTAAACTCTTTACAACTTTTTCAACAAAATCTTTATTTGGGGTTTAAAAAACACAGAAATGTCAAACTCCCACTTTTTAACAGGCTTTGGCTCGCTCATAAAGCTGACTGTGAACACAGCAGCACAATTGCATTATAGTTGCCTTTTTACACACTGCTCAGTTCCTAGCTGGAGGCTGTCCTCCAGGAAGAGAGTGTGTTTTACATCGAGTACATGCAGTCTCCTGCTGAGGCTTCCAGGCTTCACTTCCTGCAGTCTGTCAGAGGAAATGTGGGATATACTTTCATTATAACATGATTTAACTTTGAGCCATTACTCAAAACACTCCCCCTGTGTCAAAATCCCTCAACTGGAAAAGACCCACAAAACCTAAACATTACACACTTCCACTTCCACAGCTTTTCTGTGTTTGCACAAACAAGGTCACGTTTATCATCCCGACTCACAGCTTTGTAAGCTACATCTGCAGCTGCACACATTTGTGCATATCCGACTGCTAAGAGAGTTCAACTGTACAGTGTCCTTGTGTGGATTTGCATATTTAAGGCATTCCATTGATTTACAGCAGAGAAGCAATTAAACCAAAGGGTGTCTCGAGGGTGCCCACCTGGGTTGAACCCCAAACAACCCTTTGATCTCCGTTAAGTGGCTTTATTCATATTGTCAGACCTTATCTGAATACATTTCAATTATTTCTCAACACATGCAGCAGCAGCAGCACCAAAAAGAGTTGGCGGAGCAGCAGCAGCAGCAATCACTGGAGGATCTAACTGCTTACAGTAGCTATCTCAGGATGCATGTTGTAACACTGCCCCCTTATGGTCCTAAGAGGAACATGTTTTATGAGTGCATTTGTGAGTCTTGTGTGTCTCTAACCTCACACATTCAGGGGTCAGTGCCATTTCCTTGTCTTCCAGGTGTTGGCGCTTGTAGGCAGCCACAGAAGACGGCATGAGCTGCAGAGAAAGGTTTTGATTTGGCTCCTTTTTAAAACGCCATCTGCCTTCACCTTATGTGTGCGTCATGTGAGTCACATGCAGGCAAAACTTACAGCTTTCCCACTTAGGCTCTCTTCCAGCTTCCTCACCCATGTAAACGTCTTTAATGTTCTGCTTAGAAAAGGGGGGAAAAAAGGGCAGCATACCTTGGTTTCCCATCTGCTGGTTGTGAGAAAACATGAAACCAAACATACAGCAGCAGTAGAGCCAAGACTGGGTAAATGAATCACCTGAATCGAATCTGAACGTCATTAACTGGATAACAGTTTATGTCTCCTAATCGAGTTGTGTTTGTCGTGCTTGATTTTGAAACTCTCTGGATCTTTGCCTCGCTTTATTTATCGCCACATTTTTTGGAGCATGAAACGACAGCACCTGAACGCCTCGTGCCATTACTGTCAATATTTTTTTCCACATTGAGGCATCAAATCGCTCTAACAGTATCCAGATACACATTAAGACTTATGACTCCCAGGTGCTTCGTATTTTTATCGCTAGTCTCGTGCTGATGCTTATGATTGCATTTGTGCGACTGGAGCCTTTTGGGAACGACGACTGGGAACATTTAGCAGAAAAAAATCAAGTTGAACAGACAATAACTGCATCCAGAAACGAGGCTTTCTTAGTTATTCCAAGAACACGGCATAGAAACAGCAAAGAGGGCTGAATAAACATTTAAATTTAAACCTTTTTGAATAATTAATTGTCGCTCCATAATCTACTGATTGACCACAGAGGCTTTTCTTGTTCACTACCTAAACACAAAAGCATTACTGCTGTATTATCTGTTTTATTTTATTGATAGTAAACGCAGCTTCAGAGCCTGTGCCAAGAAAGGAAAACCATCTGAAACCCAGAGCACCTACACAGTCTATTATATGCCTTGGCACCACAACAGCCACTGTGTGTTTATTGCACTTATTCCCTGACAATAAAAAAAGCAGAAGAGGCTGTGAAGGCGAGAGAGTACAAAGACGTGAAATCAAGATGCTCTGAGTGGCCCTCACATCCTCGTTGACGTTGACTGTCTGTACAAAAGCTGTTTGTCTCCTCTTGTCTCGGTCTGGGTTTCGCCGTCTCCGGTTGCTGCACGTCGTAGCTGCAATCAAAGAGGTCTTTTAAGTCAGGGACTTTCTTTTTTGCATTGTTGAACTCGAGTAAAGTAATCCATGCAAATACCTCTAAATCTTTGCAAGAGGAGATGATTTGCATTTTCAACAAAGGATATAGAAGCATTAAGAAATCAAGAATCTTTACTGATCTAGACTGTATAAAGAATGGACGCCATCTGCCTCCTCGCTGGGTGAAGCCACCTCAAGAACAGCACCCTCTGGTGACGGGCTGCAGTATAGGTCATAAATCCCGCCTCCTCCAGCAATCCCTATGGAGCTGTGGACAAACTATAGAAATGTATTATGCAGAATATAAATATTTCTCCCCCATGCTTGCGATGTTGACATGTAGTTATTGTAAGACTGGTTTGAGCTACAATTTCAAAAGTTATTAGGGGGTTCATGTTTTCTATGATTGACACTTGATACAGCCTATGGGCATACAAAGCTCACCCGAGGGATACGCTGTTTGAGCCGAGCGTCATCACAGTGACTCTCCTGCCGAATGCGTACAATGCTACTGCGCAAGTGGTGGAGTGCGTACAACGCTACTGTGCAATGTTGGTTTCAGGAAGTGGAGAAAAATCGCAGAATTACAGAGAGCTTTTCGGCTTCAACTCCTCTAACTGCTAACACTATCATGTAATGAAGCTAATAAAACAGCTCTTTTGAATGCCAATATTTGCTTCATTATTTTATTTCCCAGCAGCACCTTGATCCAAATGTGGTTATGGTGCATTAGCAGTATGCAGTATGCGTATATGCAAACTGCATACTGCTAATGTGCCACCAGTGGCATACTAAGCAGTATGCCACCAGTATGTGCCTACACATTTTACATCTTCATTAATAATCAAAACAGAGTTCAGTGATGTGAAGGGTATTGTAAATATTTCTCATGTCAGCCTTTTAAAGCCTGACTGCCTGGTTACATTGAGTAATTTAGCCTTTGCTGAACTAATGCTGCATTCCATTTACCCGGAAGGTCATATGTCGGAGCTGGGAATGATGTCACACCCTAGTTGACGGCTTTCCTGTGAAAAAGTCAAAAAACCAAGATGGACACCTACAGTTATCCATCGTTAGCTGTTGTTTACAATTGTCAGCTGTCATTAGCCGTTGTCAGTTATTGTTAGCAGTTGCGCACAACACAGTATTTTACTCTTACAAACACCATAGCACCGTGTTCACAGTTCGACGTTGGGCAGTACAACATACACCACTTCATTTCAAAACAGAAGTGCTAAGAAATAATACATTACGAAAGCTTTCACTGTCACTCTTTACTGTTGATGAACTGCACTGCCATCTTGGATTATGACATTGTCGTCAAGTCGGGGTTGGTAAGGAACGTCCGACTTTCCGAGTTGGAAATCCAACTTAAGGGGTGCGTTCCAGGTGAATTTTTGACTCTGAACTCTGAAATCCTGAGTTCCGAGTACAACTGTAACTCAGCATAACATGCTATCAGCCAGAGCAGCCACTAACTCACTAAATAAACAATCAAAGTGCCCTGAAGTAGTTTATGGTTTGGTATGGTGTATGGTATGGTTTGGTATGTGGTATGGTTATGGTATGTAGTTTATGGTTTTTTTTTAACTTTATATACTCACTCATTTTCCTGCTATACGCACTTACCAAATACAAGTGTCTTCTTAAGGCTAGGTATGATGGAAAATATTTGTGGTTTGAAAGCATGAAACTGATAGGATAGACAAGATCAAACTGAATGTGATCCCACTTCATAAAAACCTTTACCTTTTGGGAATACTCAGAATGACTAACCTGTTGCTATCAATGGAGTTCAGTGTAAAGGAGAAGAGATGTCCCGACTTAAATGGAAAATACATCCTGTAGTTTTTGGGATATTTCAGTCAAAACAACAAATGTGATCTCTGTTGTGACACAAGAAGACACCGCCATGCGTTTGAGGGATTACATGGGGAATCACGATTTAGAGAAAGACTTAAAAATTATATTAGTCCACATCCGTTTGGCCAGAAAATAACCAGAAAATATTCATCATGTTTTGTAGACAATCTGATTCAACTCACCGAGTTCAGAGTTCACAACTCCTACAAATCTTTCACACAGTTGACTAAATCTGTTAAATTACCCAAGTGTTTTCTGCCTTAGTTAGTCTGATTTTACAACAGCAATCAAACCTCAGCAGTTAGCCTTATCTGTACAGTTACACCAGAACAGACAGAAATAATAGTCTGAACTCGGAATTTGGAAGAAACCATTATGCTGATTTGAGCGCTCGATCAAACAAGAGCTGTTTTCTGAAAAGACCATCCATCTCTTGATCTTGTGCACTCGTTTGATTCTGGCTCAGGGGATTTCATTATGCTCAGACGATCGATTGGCGAGTCAGTCAGCCACTCATCCAGTCACCCAGTTATCCAGTCAGTTGGACAGTCACTCAGTAACCGAACCAGCCGGCCAGGGAGAGAAAAGTCCAGCCAAGAGAGAAGGCGCGACCCAAATCCTGATGATTTCCAGATGAGAGCCCAGACTGTCTGGACTGAGCAGAGAACACACACAGAAAAGAAAAGAAATAAAAAAAGGATTGGAGAGAGGGAGGGGACAACAGAAAAATAAAAACAGTGAACGTAGGAATGATCCTGCTTGAGAAAATGGTGCCAAACTCAACAGTCAGGGTGTTAAACAGCCCTGTTTAGATGTCCGCTCATAACTGTGACTCAAAGCCCTGAGAGAGACAGAGCAAGGCTAGAAGACGAGTGTGTGTGAAGAGGTCTGTGTGTGAGGATGATCAGCATGCAGTGGTGGGCTCCACTCATCGTTGTTTACCTGTCTACCTGCCTGGAAGCCATTCAGCACCATAGAAAAGGTAGGTGCACTTGGAGAGACCGTGCAGACGCCTCTGTGTATAGCTCTCGATTTTTCCTTCTCTGGCCTGTTAAAAACATCATTTGAATCGTACTTTTCAGAGCGATTTCACCGTTTTTCATCCTTAGTTAGAATAAACAAGGCTATAGGGGAACGCATGAGAGTTTTGTCCTGGTTTGCACCACTTAATGTATGAAAGCATGTGTTTATCTTGTAGAGATATCACTATCACGACCACTTTAGCAGAACATTTTTCTAGCCTGTTGTTATTGGAGTCACCTACGGAGGAAATTCCTTCCTGAAGACTCGCGTATCTACAAATCTTTGAATAAGTCACAGGATGCTAAAGCCAGCCAAAGAGAAGGAAAATATTCAGATCAATAATACTTGTGTAGTTTAATTGTTTAATATCGACATCTCTAAAGCTTTCTGCATTTGCTGATGTCAATTTCCAAAAGGAAATTGTTAATTTGTTTGTTATTCATTTACATGTTTGAAGCAGTTTTCATTGATTTTATTTTTTTTTAACCACTTGGAGGATCAACCTGTTAACATTTGCATTTTATCATCTTAGAAAGCAAACATGCAGGGAGCAGCATTAGCATTTAAGCACCCGTTCCTGCGGCGCGTGGTCAATATTCACACCACTTTTGAACTCTTATTTGTGCATAACTAACCGCTGGAGGCGAAAATCTGACTATGAAGCTGCAAAATCAGTTGTAACACTGATACATCATCAAGTTGCTGGTAAAGGACATATAACATCATGATAAAAGACGCTTCATTTAAAACAGTGAACACCTGAAAACACTTGATTGGCAAAAACTGGAAGAACGAGGGTATAAAAACCCAAGTACAAGGTCTACAACATCCAAATTAAAACTGTTAATTTAAAAAAGAGACCACCATAATTAGGGCTGAAACGATTCCTTGAATTTTTCTCTGCCTCGAGTACTGGTTTGTAAGCTCAAATCGTCACTGTTTCCCACGGGTTCTTTTCAAGGTGACTCAATGCACTTACGTCACCACAGTGGAAGGATGAGTAAGCGCTGTTACGTTTTGCGGAGTGGAAAATATAAATGGTGAGAGGGGCTTTTCTTGCAGTGTTGCCAACCTCGTGAGTTTCCTTACTGAGAAGTTGGTAACAGTGTTTTCTTGTGCAGAGCTCCAGTAGCTCATTAGAACTTAGCCTTTGAGTCATGGGTGGAGACTTCTCTTTACACTAGCTTGTAGCCTAACATTGCTGGTGTTGTAGCAGAAGCAGGTAACATAGGAGCTATTCAGCTCTCGGACACTAATGTCTTTATGGTCATGTTGAAAGTTAATATCATAATTATCTTTCTTACGAGCATTTCAATCCGCTAACGCACACTCTTGTTCCGGGATTGTCCTCTATTTCTCTGAGTCTGGCTATAAGAAATCTAACTTTGTGCCGTTTGGGTCCAATTACTCAAGTAATCGATCGAATGTTCGGTAGAATACTCGATTATTAAAATATTCGATAGCTGCAGCTCTAACCATAATTATAAACTTAAAAGGTTGAGATTAATGCTGCGTTCCAGTTGTACTCAGAAGTCAGAATTTCTGAGCTCCAAGTCGGAAATTCATCTGGAACACCCCCCTAAATTTGGATTTCCGACTCGGAAAGTTGAACAATCCTCACCAACCCCGACTTGACGACAACGTCATAATCCAAGATGGCAGCGCAGTGTATCAACAGTAAAGAGTAACAGTAAAAGCTTTCGTAATGTATTATTTATTAGCACTTCTGTTTCGTTTTTGTGAAATTAAATAAGTGATATATGTTGTACTGCAACATCCAACTGTGAACATGGTGCTATGGTGTTTGTAAGTGTAAAATACTGTGTTATGCGTTGTTTACAACTGGTATCACTAACAACAACTAACAACAGCTGACAATTGTAAACAACAGCTAATCAAAACTAACTGTAGACGTCGAGCTTGGTTTTCGAACTTGTTTACTTGACGGAACGCCGTCAAGTCAGGTGTAACGTCGTTCCCAGCTCCGACATCTGACTTTCAAGGTAACTTAAACGCAGCATTAAAACAGCAAAAAATTTTAAGAGAAATTGTACATTTAATGATATAAAGAGAGTTTGGGATGTTTATGGGCTGCAGCTTAAAAGTGAAGTGACACTTAGACAAGTGTGGCTGTTCTCCAGCTCCTCCAATCATCACCAATCTCCCCAGTTTCCGAGGTAACTTGAACGCAGCATTAAAACAGCAAAATTTTTGAAAGACATTATACATTTAATTATATAAAGAGGGTTTGGGATGTTTATGGGCTGCAGCTTTAGAGTGAAGGGACAATTAGACAAGTGTGGCTGTTTTCCAGCTCATCCAATCATCACCAATCTCCCCAGTTCGCTAATATCCATGATGCCAAACCTTATCTTGACTGCCAGGCGATTCCAAGTGCCTTTTATTGCGGCTTAGCTTCACATAGATTTGTCTCACAGAGAGAGTATTGATGGTGAAGTCAGTGTGTGCAATGTTAGTTTTGTTTAAAATCTGCAACATGCTCTAATATTAACATCATTTGGATGTAAATTAAAATGCTTAGCAGAGAAAAGGCTGTCACTGGAAAGACTTAGCTCTCTTCTGTGTCCTTTTCACCCCTCTGTATTGTAAGCCAGAGGAATCCAGACGCTCTTTTTGTTATTGTTTTTGTTTGTTTCTCCTCCTCTCTTTCTTTTTTTTTTTTTCTTCTCCCGCATCAAGACATCCCTCCAGACAGGAATACCATTTAGCCCTGCTAATTAATGGATCTTTGTTGTTCCCTCGTCTCCTTGCAAGCAGTTAGCGGGAGATTACAAGTTCCCTGCCTGTGCATAATGACATTGGGGGAAGCTTGCCCATCCAAACATGGATTGTTTTAGAGAGCTGGAGGAGGGCGCAGAAGCAAAAATAAAGGACGTACAGGCCAAATACACACAGGGATACTGAAACGTTGATATAACATGATAAATTAAATACTGGTCATGTTTGATCAGGTGTGTAGCGCTCCCCTATTGGGAATATAGTGGAGGAAGTTTCGATGAAGATTTGAGTTTCTGTTTCTCATGGAGTTCAAAACCTCATTCTCATCAGCAGAAAATATTGGTTTATGGTTTACAATATGTGACCTTAAACTTAAATCTGTGTTATATTACAAGGAAAAGAAGATCAATCAATAGCACTTTCATACTTGGACTCTTGGAACATTTGTTGTTTGAATGCTTTTGTGATTTCAATCTCTGTTTGAGACAAGCAGCTGAAAACCCGTCCATCCATGAATTTTCTTTGCTTGTCCTGGATCTGGTTGTGGGGGAAGCAGTCTTAGCGAGTAAACCCAGACATCCCTCTCCTTAGCAACGCTTTCCAGCTCTTCAAGTGGGATCCCAAGGTGCTACCAGGCCAGATGGGATATATAATCCCTCCAGTGAGTTCTGGGCCTACTAAGAGGTCTCCTTCCCACTGGCGGCTCCTGGACACCTCCGTGGGGAGGCACATCCTAATCATATGCCCAAACCATCTCAGCTGACTTCTTTCGATGGGAGGAAGCAGCGGCTTTACTCTGAGCCCACTATCTCTGAGGCTGAGCCCAGCCACCCGTCAGAGGAAGCTCATTTCAGCCGCTTGTATCTGTGATTTCATTCTTTTGTTCCTGCAGCTCATAGCCGAAGGTGAGGAAAGTAGAGGACCTGGTGAAGCTGGTGAGTTTCACCACAAAACAACGAAGAGTCGGTCCAATCTTTATAGCAATTATTTGAGTTGCTTTCGTTGCTGCAAGTTAATTCATTGATCCTCATTACGTGTCTTCTTCCTGCGTACTCTCACTCCTTTATCATCCCTTGACCTCCACTTTCACCTGTTCCCAAGCCCTCCATCAGCTCCGCAGTACATTTTTACCTCTCTACTCTAAACCCAGTCTGATTGTTTGTTGTGCAACCCAGCCTTAGTGTTTCAACCTTATCTTGTCCGTCCGCCTGTCTGCTTCTCTTGTTATTAACCTTTGCCTGCTTTTTGGACTTCTCGCCGGCCTGCCTTGCCCTTTTTTGTTCTACTTTCCTATCTTGGTATCTTGTCTCTTGAGCACATTGTTTTTCACCATCTACAAAGTAAACTTTTCTTTTAGATCGCCTTCCTTCACCGCTCAGCTGTGCATTTTACCAGTCTTGGCTAAAAAACGTGTTGTTTAAACTTTTGATAAACTAAAAAGAAAATCCCTTTTCTTTACAGCTCAATCTGAAATCTATTTTCCTTGCAGCTGAAGACAAAAAGGACAATTTCCTGTGTTCACACAACCAAAGTTAAATGCAGGAGGATTCTTAGATGTAAATCGCAGATTAATTTAGCTCCCAAACTCCCTCCTATAGTAACATTACTCTTGCTCTAATTGCACACTTTCCTCCGAGTGTCGTTTACACTGACAATGCCCCTCTGAAGCTGAAGTGTTTCCAGTGTGTCTACAGAGGCATCCCCTCCTTTTTGCTGTTGATTTTTCATCTGGGAGTCAAACTGTGTTGGAATTTCTCTGGAAACCGTGTGAGGACATTTTTTCTGCAGGAACGGTTCTGAGTCACTGTTTTCTCTGGAAACGGTCTGGAGGAACTGTTTGACTATTCATGAAGACAGAGCTGGCAGAAAAATATCTCCCTTTTTTAACAAGAAACCAGTAGTAGGATGATGAATATTTCGCTGGAAAAAGTTAGTTTATCATGGTGTAAAGACGGATAGTGCAGAGCAGGAACGATGTTGTTAGAGTCAACAAACAATCCTTTACTATGATAAGATAAAACACATCCAGAGAGGCATGTTTGAGTAGTTTTTACAGTTAATTTTTTCCACCTTGACAGTACATTAGTATGATTTTCAGCTCGAAAAATAAGACGACTAAATGCATCTAAACAAGTTAGCCCAACTGAAGTTACACTACAATCAAACTTCTCATAGTTGGACTAACATACCTGGATAATTCTCGAGTGTTATCTCAGTCCTGTTTACTCTCCTACTTCAATGTTATAGCTTGTCGTTCTGCACCTGCACAAGGAAGAAGCTTCAGGTTTCAGTAACGGTTGCAAACCCGACACGCCCTGACCACTCTGTTTACCGAGGAGTCGTCAGTGAAGTGATCCTCAGCTGTTTTCCACAGAAACATAAAACTTTCCTTTATTTTTGTCTCTTTGCGTTGGAAAGAGGAAATAACCGGTGACTGTCCTTCGCAACCGAAAGAGTATTTCCCAGAAACCTTCAAAAACACTCCAGATCAACAAAGTGTGTAAGGGAGAAACTGAGTTAACATGAGCTGTGACATAACTGTTTTTGAAACTTAAACACCATTAGTGTTGTGTTGTTCATGAACGTTTCATTCAAAAGAACGGAACTGTTGAGGGAACGACGTGGACTGAATCACTCCGAGACCTGATTTGTTCCTTTCTCAGTTCAGTTGAGCTCAGCCACGAGCCCGGCGTACTGGTTGGGAATGGAACTGCTGCCTTTGACTCTTTGGCGAACAACACACAGCCAGCCAGCGGGCTGGCGGACAGGTGGGCGGAGTCTCTTGCTCACAGCGAATGAACGATATGTATCAGTCAGACTGTGAATGGAACGAACGACTTCCGATGGACTTGAGGCAGGCAGAGGAGGGAGGGGTGTAGCGTCGTTTACGAACTGTCGAGCACCAGTTCGTTTACTGAGGCTAAGATGAAACAGTACATTTTCGTGCCTCTACATTCAAACACGTGTATAAACTTTCCTGCAAGAACGATTTAATTCCCGCCGATTTAAAGAAATACGCTCTGTGATATCTTTAAAAGTAGCAGAATCTCCGCTACAGTTGCAATGTTTTTTTTTAATCTCTCTACTTTTCCTCCATATTAAAAAACATTCTACTTGCTGCTGTGTTGTTTCCACCAACGGCGACACACAGAGAGGCGAGTTTTTCAGGGCAGGGGAGTGATTCTTGAAACAACGTGTCACCCAGTGAACGATGCTGTGACTTCGGCAGCAGGGGAGGGGAGGGGCTTGTCCAATGAACGAACTCGCCGCTGTGTCACTCACTCGTGTACTGCACCAGCAGGACTGGGCTCGGAAGCACTGACTGATTTGGTGAACGAATCATTTTAATGAACAGAAAGATTCAGTACAGTCAAAAGAGCTGCTCTTCCCATCACTACTCACCATTTAAGCCTTTGGAATAATTTCATATGAGTTGATTTGAGGTAGGACTGCAGCGCTCTTTAATGATTTATCCCGCCTTACTCTTTGTTGTGGAAGAAAACAAAGAGTCAGCAGGCTGCAACGGGAAACTTTTACATTTGTATTCCCAGAAGTCCCTCCTGAGCCCTCCGTGGTTAGAGGTAATATGTTGCGGATTACACAGCTGTTTCATTTTGCTGTGTTTAAGTATTCCAACACTGTAACATAAAGCCAGGGATAATCTTTACATTCTAAACAGTGAGAGCTGTGCCTGGCAGGCACCCAAGCAGGAGGCAGGTACATGGAGAGATCAGTCAGTGCATGTTACTTTGGCTGGCCTTGCAAATGCTGTAAAGCTGAATGTGTAACACGCAGGGAAGGCTGCAGGCAGCTGGGGCTGATCATTACTGCAGAATTGGCCAAGCAGCGCAGCGTAGACGCCGCTGTAGGGCTGCAGGACAATTGGATTGAATTTCAGATGAAGCCGAGTGTTTGTACTGTACACCTCATTGAGATCTGTGTGTGTGATCTGTTTGTTGACTTACACGCCGAGCCCAGCACTGGATGGCATATGGAGGGAAAAAAAGCAGAAGAAAAAGTGGAGAAGCCTAAAAGATGGTTCAGTTTAGTCATTACGCTGTGAATTCCCCTCTCGGCTTTTATCATTTTCTGCTAACTTAATTTTCTGAAACTATGTCACCACATTTGTCTTGGAGCCTTGCACATAAGAGTTTTGATAATATGAAAATCTTTGTCGACTCTTGAACTCAGTCGTAGTCAAAATAGGAACACTAAGGACAGGGAAATGTGGTCAGAGTTACTTTACATCCTCTTATGCTTTCTTTCCTCATCTTTTTCATTCCTACTTTGGTTTATCTTGACCTCTCAAAGACTTTCCATCACCAGTGGGAATATCCGAACTCACACAAGGCTGTTATGCAAAACGAGAATGCAAATATGGTGTTGTAGGATCACACCAGTTCATAAATCATTCTTGAAACACAGATATGTCCTTCTGACTTCATTAACAATTTAACCTTATCTGACTTTTGCATTTTAAGTCTGGAAACTCAAAGATGGCCCTGAAAGGAAAAAGAGTTTGAACTTTTCGCACCCATTATGTAAGGCTGATGCCAGAAGATTACAGAAGTAAGGAACATAGTGTTATAAATGGTGAAATACTGAGTAAAGGATAAGAAATAATCAAATTTAAACTCAAATCTTATCTCATATAAGTGTTGAAAGAGCTGAATTCTTGCATTTGGAAACCTTTTACTCATATCCAGTGATATTGGGTTGAACTATGTTAAGGTAATTTTCATACCAGAAAAGGGTCAAACTACACTCAGCACATTTGCACGCATAGTTCACTGGAGCTAAGGTTATAGCTCAACCAGTGAAACCCTAACCTAAGGACTGCTGTGATTGTTTCAGTTGATAATCACAGATCAAGAATCAGTTTATTACCAAAAGTATGTCTGCCTCTGCTGCACTAGGCTTGTTTATTCAACCTGTCTTGTAGAGTGAGAGTTACAGTCAGTAAGGGCCTGTGTCCATTAACACCCTTTTTTTGCATTGGCAGGTTCCACAATCTCAATTTCAGATCTGTATGCCTCAGATTCGCTTATATCCGGCAAAAATAAAAGTCTCACTTCCTAATAAATGAGTTAGAAAGAAGTGACACTAAAAAATTCAGCAGTGGTGTAAAAAAGTGCAACCAGCGAGTGTAACAAATGCTGTTAGTGGACACAGGCCCTAATAAGCTAAATTGCAGTTCTCTTTCCCCTGTGAAGCATTTTAGCAACGTAAGGCCTGTCAGTTTGATTTTACAGAAAAACTGTAACCGTCTCCTCAGCCGTGGCAACTCGATTTTAGCTACTTAATGTCAAACGGCAGGTGAACACTGTTTGGATGTAAAAATTGGCTATTTTTTCGTAACTTCTGGGTTTGTTTGGTTATAGGCTAGGGTGACCATACGTCCTCTTTTACCCTGACATGTCCTCTTTTTTTAGGGCTGTCCCGCCTTGTCTGGCTTTGTCCAGTGAAGTTTATAAAGTCCTTTAAATGTCCACGGTTTTGTACGGAAGTTTCGAGTTTTGTGTAACTTTGTGTAACTTTGTGTAACTCCATGACTCCACCCCCATGTAGTTGTGTCCTCTTTTTGGGAAGTCAGAATATATGGTCACCCTATTTTAGTCTATTTGAATTTGTAATTGGTTTAGTTGTTCGGCATATTATATATTTACTTTTGGTCAGATCCAGACTATCATTTCTCATTTCAAGTTGATACAAACTTAAACTAACTTCCTACTGGCTGAAGTATGATATCCACAGATAGATGTGCGAGTTTAATAATTTAATCAATGATTTTGTTGATTTCAAGAACAATAAAAACTTCTTTAATGCTACCGAAAAAGATTGTTTACCTTGCGTATTAATCGATGAATTAGGGTTAGGGTTAGGGTCCACAGCTTGAGCTACTTTCTCAGAAATAAGGAAGGAAAAGTTTTAGTCGAGTGCCAGTCCTTTGACATTGTAATATTTCCTTTCTGGATTATAGCTGTTCAAGCATTTGGAATTGCCTCTGGTTATCACCTCCAGTAAATATGGGTTTCACAGTATTTTATCAAAGAGGTTTGGCATCAGCCACCGTGTCCCCGAGCACAGAGCGAGAGGCTTCATTCCAGCTCTATCAGGACACCGCAGATTACAGGGTCCCTCATCTGCTTCACATATGAACTCCTACTTTGAAAATCTCCCCAAATGAGGTCAGAGGCACTCTCTGATATCACGCCGCAGGGTGCATCAGCCACCACCACTTGTAAATATAGAAGCATGTGTGAGTCGGGTCCAAGACCAATTTCACTCAGCGCAGCTGGAACCAGATTCTATCTCACCTGCATAATATTTGAGCAGTAATAAATCTGTGTTGATGCAACCTCTGGCCCACCCACAGGCCTGCAGAATTCTTTGAATACAAGGGAGATCCTCTAATCCAATTTCCTGTTCTTGTGTGTCGTAGCTCTGTATCCAAACGCTTACAGGATAAAGCGTGGGACATATTCTCTGATCAATCCGACGTTCCAGCAATCCATGAAGGATGCCAACCTGCTTTTTGAGGTCAGTTTGGATCCTACGAGTCCAATTATTTCTTTGCTTGTGCTTGTGGTTCATAGCTGGAAACCAGTTTGGATATTTTGGGAATGTGCAAAAGATCAGTAAGAGTCACACATTTTCGGGAAATCTGTTTTTATCACAGGATTTCTTAAATATAGCGGTTTTCAGGAATGACAGTTAAAGACAGTCACGCTAAAGAAGAATGAAAAGGTGAAAATGAGTCGTAAAGGTCTCTTAGATGCATGGTGATCAACCCTTTGAGACCTGAGTACCCAATCTACCTGTATACTCTTCCCACATCCTTTGGTTTTACAGACTTCATCGAGTTTAGCACTAGACAGGTGCTAAATAAACCAAACATACTCACCTCCCTGCATTATTTCTCTACTAAAGCCCTTGAGCAGCCTGTTAGAGTAAGTAAATAATTTCTTTGGCTCTGTTCCCAAGATCCTCCTGGCTGGAATGCAGATCCAAGATGAGGACCACGCCATACTGATCCCAGATGAGGAGCTGGCCTCCCTGAGGAGGGTGGCAAAGCTGGAGGTCATTTGCGAGGACGTCCTTCCAAAGAGGCTCTCTGAAATCCGCCGATTGACAGCAGAGCTCACCCAGCGCCAGCATCCTTTGAGCCTGCAGGACTTTGAGAGGACAGTGCTGACTCTGGTGTACATCGCCCAGACTCTGGCTCAAGTCAGGGACCAGCCGCAGAGAGAGGCGTGGGCGAACGCAGTGATTCAGCTGTTCAAGGCTATTCAGAAAGATATCATGTCTTCTTGAGTTTTTCAGTGTGTAGAAGTTTTATACCTTTCCTCAAAAGTCTTTAAATAGGGGTCCAAGAAATCCAGATATCACAGAGAAAACCCCTCTGGATCAATTTAGGGCTCCTCCAAATATTAGACTTATTGGTCTTGATTATATTGCATGTTATGATAAATCAAAGTTGGGTAACACTTTACAGTAACCATAACTTATAAATGCTAAATAGACCATTTATAAATGGTAAGCAGATAGTTTATTGATGTTTAATCATCATTGTTAAATAACATATAGACCATGAATATATTGTAAATTTTTACCATTTTAAAAGCCTAACCCTAAAGTTCCTTACTCACCGGGAACAAAGCAAATATATGACACCAAATTACAAAATATTCGGAGGTGAATTCTGACGTGCCTGACTTTACATATCAAGCGCAATGCGATTTTGCGACTTTCCAGGGGGAGGGAAAAAAAAGACTCGTCCCGGGTGGAAGCGAGAAGACTGACACAACACCAGACTGACACTAGTGTTGAGATGGTTGTCTGTCATGATAGCATGTACTGAGTCCCAGATAAGCACATTAAACTATAATCCATAAACGTAAGGTAACAACTGAGACCTAAAGGTGCTGTGACAGCAACGGGATTGAGTTTGAGACAGTGAAAATACATATGGTATGTTGTATCTGAACAGGTTAGCTTATGAGCTAAAGTTACTTAGCACAGATGAAAGTTAAAACAAAGATGTTTAGCAAACTGTTAAAGCACACAAACCATCGTCATATGAGAGATCCGACGCTATGACTCTCCACAAGTTGTCCTTCAGGTTGTTACCTTTGTAATGTTTGTGTTTTTTATCATAAAGCACTCTGTTCTCCGACACATAAACAATTAGCCGGTCGGCCATGTTGGATATACCAGTGAATCTGACATCACAACATCACGCAATCTGACTGGTCAGAAGTGGACACACAGTATGTGAAACTTTCGAAAATTCGACTGTGATACGAAAAAATGAATGCTGCAGTATCGCAGAATGGGAAAATGTCGCTGATGTGAACGCTTGTATTGACAGGATATGGGTTCAAAAAAAATATTGATGTCTGAAATAATCGTACGAAAAAAACGCTCCCGGTGTGAAAGAACCTTAACCCAAACTTTACAATAACCATCTAAGTAATGTTTATAGGTGGTTTAAAAACCTATTAACCATTTACAAAGTACTGCGGACACACTCTATTTGCCGTTAATAATTGGTCTATATGCTGTTTTTAAATGATGATTAAACTTTAATAAACTATCTTTTGACCACTTTAAATTATGGTTGTTGTAATTAAGTGTTACCCAAAGTTGTTCAGTCAACTAATGGACCAGTGCCTTAAAACTGCATTATTTCAAAAAGGTGGCCTTTCAGCTTGTTTTAAATCAAAGTTGTCCAAGTTCACCTTCTTGCAGGTGTATGCTCAATGGAGAAACTGCAGACAACTTGACAGCTCTGTAAGTTTCAAACTTTTGATATGACAGCTTCTTCTTTTTCTTCTGTTGAGGTTTCGTTTCTTCAACCAGCTAAAAAACACCTCACAGGTGCTTTACTTTAACATCAAATATCCCTCTTTGGTCCAAAGTAAATCTACCTCCTCCTAGATGACTACATGTATTTGTTCCTCTGCCTTCGGTATGCACATTTCCACTTGCAATAAAGACAGGAAACATTTGGATAAGGTGGGAGATAACCTGTGACAGAAGGTCCCCTGACTTATCCAACTAGAGCCTTGTTGGGCCATAACCACGAGGCCACTTCTACACCCTGATTTAATTGCTTTATCAATTAATTTATGCAGTTGTTTTCCACTCTTGGCTGATTGTAACTGTAATTCATTATGTTTGGAGATACTTATTTGTTCATTAGGTGAAAATTCAATAAAAGCAGCAGAGCATCTGTGCTGTGTGTATTTGCACGAGCCACACGGCAGCCTCATTAATCAAGTGGGTCCCGGTGTGCTTCCACATGCTAACAGGTTTAACTTGAGCGCTCGGGCAGAGCGATAGTTCCTGGGAATAAATCACGGAAGGAAAAAAGGACTGACTGCTCACAGTTCGATCGAAATGAAGCCATAGTTTGGTGGCAAATTTTCAAAATAAGTTCAACTTTTTGCGTACTTTGGAAAGAAATGTATGCAAACTAAGATGTAAAATTAGTTGCAGAGTCATCTTCATCTCTTTTTGTTTACATATTTGCTGTTTAGATGCCTCCTCACTCTGCCTAGAAATGATTGCTCATCTCATTGAATGCATCCCTAAAAGCCCTCTAAATTAAAAACCCCGGATTTGTACTTAAAGAGTCTGTGTACATCAATACCCCTGATTGCTCATTTGAGTTAGCGGTAAAATGTTTGATGGATGTTTGCTTCAAAGCCACACATCCCCACACTTATTCTAAGAAAAAGGTACTTGCTTAATACGCTTTCCTGCAGCGTACTCATCACAGAGTGGATAGAAAGTGTACATCTTGTTTGTGTTGTTTTTCCTCCTCCAGCTGATTGCTTTTACATTTCAGTATTTCGCCTCGGTTGAAGCTTTTACTCAGAAAAAAAAAAATCTTGGAAACATCAGTCTGTGAACGTTTCCTGCCACCGGAGTTGATGTTTTCTACAAGCATTTAATTCCTGACATGGTTTAAGATGATGTCGGATATTTTTTTCTTATTTTGCACAATTTTCTGCCTTCTTCTCAGTGTGTCAGCTTTCACTTGAGGCTGGAGCGGGTGGTGCTGAGTCAGGACGACTGATTGATGAAGGGGTAAAGTTTTCTTTTCTGTGATGGATTTTCTAAGATCAACATTTGCTCCCTTTTCAGGCTGTATGACGATGGTGAAGATGACTGGCAGGGCAAAAAGAGGCCAGGATGTTACAGCTCAGGGTTTTGTTTCTTTCAATAAGAGAAGAATGTCTTATTAAATGCAGGATTTATAAAGCTAAATGCCATTTTTTACCGTAAATGAGACAAAGACACTTGTTCAGTTTATCTTCTGTTTTCTCCTTTGATGCATTTCACTTTTTTTCAAAAGGCAGAAACTCATTTTCTCTGCAGACTGAGTTGCACTTTGTAAAAATATGTAAGTGTATCAAGTCAATACTGATCAAGGACCTGCAGTTTTGGTCTATTACTCCTAAGCTCTTCCTCATACATACTATCATAGTCATATTTGCACTCTCCACACATTTATTGTCCTAAAGTTTTAGAACTTCTCTCTAACTTTATTACTTCTTTTTATTTCCATCCTCTCCTCTGGGACTGCGGTGGAGATTTAATAAGAAAAAATAGGCTTTTACCCAAGGTATTGACTTATCAATACGTTTCATAAAAAGTAAGTCTGTAATATTCTCTCCTTAAATGCCAAGTGAAAGCTTCAGCGGTGTATCTGTCATGCATGAAGACAGAGCAGCACCAAGTGGCTGCAGACGGAACTGCAAAAGCTGTATGTTAAAGAAGCCACCTTCATCAGGAGATGGAATAGACATGTTATATTATATTATATTATATTATATTATATTATATTATATAAATTTTAATGTTTCTTTAGACAGTCAACTTCATTTTTTCTTTCACAGCCATTTTTCTTGCAGATTTTACAAAAAGACCAAAATTATAACTCTTTATAAATTAATAATCCAAATTTGTTGTTTTTCATCCTTTGTATTTTACATTTTAATGAAATATATGCTGTTAAATTTTCTCTTGAGGTGCAAGCAAACTTTTAAAATTCATTCTTGTCTTAATAGTGTAACAAACAAAAAACTCATTTTTTCAGAGATTTCTAAATTTGCATTTTCCTAGTATTAATGTTATCACAATTTTACCCACTGCAATGTAATTTAACCATCGGTCTCATGTCAGTGTTTTTAGTGTTGTCAGTTATCACCTCAAGATAATCACTAGGTGGCAGCATTTCCAAATGTGACTCCCTATTGGCTCTTCACTCCTGACAAAAGTCATGGTTGAGTCATTAGACACGGATTTGGGCGGATGATGAAAATGATGAAAATATGCCCAAAATGAGCATCACAGTAAATGATATTAAATCTACGGACTGAGTTTCATTAAAAGTCTTTAAAAAGATTAAAAGTATTTAAAAAATAATAATTCTGACATTAACACATGTGAGAGTAACACAAACACAACACACCAAAATATGAAGGTCATACACAGACAGCACACAAAGAGGTTTTGGATTGGCTTCAGATATCTCAACCAAACATGCCTGTAAAACATTAAGAAGGTAACAAGGCGCCTTTATGATACAACATGCTCGAAGAAAAAGATCGGGAAACACTGATATAGAGGACTTACTCTTACAGATCTTATAACCATAATTTGTGTCACAGCTGAGTTAAGAGACCTCAAGTTTGAAGAAAAAAAAAGACCTCTAAAAGCAGCCAGAGAAACCTCACGCTGAGGTGTGTCAGAGCTTTTTTCCCTGCAGCCTCGACCATTTTTACCTGTAAACGAGGTCTAAAAATAACTCTCTGACTCAACAGCTTAGATGGCAGGAAGATGAAAAAAATCCACCAATAAATCATATTTTTTTCAGCTCAAATGATGAATTTCATTTTCGTGCCACACGCTCATTCTCTAATATTCACAGATTGGATTTATAATGAAGTAAACTAGTCGACCATGAGACATTTCTGAAAATACACATCAATCATGGTTATTATTTTTTATCGCTCCACATGACAGATTTGTTCATGTGAATTTCCATCTATGTCAAATGTTTGAAAGTATAAACAGCTTTATATACAGTCGGTGATTTTCCATCTCCACTCAATCCGCTCATCCTGCTTCTCATTGTCTGTCTACCTCTTGTGATCATGGGAAAAATAAAGATGGCTGTATCCTGCAGATTTGATGATCTGGAAAAAACAATTTGCAGCAAGGTAGCTGAGGTCCCACACGGTGAAAAGTGGTGCATGGCGACTTGCATCACTGTGTGTGAAATCAAAGTTATGTTTGTGCAA